TACCAGGAGGAGAGAGAATCTCTCTTGCTTTCAGAAGTTAGATTATTCAGGGCATATGAAGGAATTTGGAACATTTGGTTTGGTTAGGTTTTGTTCTAGATTTCAACGGCATTAACATCCGTGTACGAGTCCAGGGAAAGGTATCAGCAACATGTAGAAGAAGTTATTATTTCTGTTATTTTTGGAAAGAAAAGTCATTGGATGCTTGCCATCCACAATGTGTCACAAAATTTTGTCTATGCCTATTGATACATGTAGATTGATATGCTACCAAGCAGTCAAACATTTTCAGAGCCGCCTGGTAAAGCAGAAACACCATGGCCCTATCGATAGCACAAGAATTTTGCCAGGAACTCCACGTGTTGTCCATCAGAGCCTATATTCCATACCAGCAACTTTTTTTCCCAATGGGCCTGTCTTTCCCCATCTTGCACTGCTGTCATTTTTTTTTAATAATAAAGCGCAAATCAACTTCATTTTCGTATACCAGTAAAAATCGCACATGTAAATAAGATTGCAATTGATTTTTCCCCAGTATTTCAGGGGCTCATTTACCGTACATGTAATTCGGGCTGTTTAAAGCAGTTATAACAAAATATTCAAATGAGCCGTAGTGAGTAACTCATTCAATTGACAGTTTTCTGTTTCTGCACTGAGGTACTGGTAGTACGTGTACAATGTGTGAGAAGTTGATCCCGTGTGGTTTATATTTTGAAAATTGTTCACAACCATATTGGAATGCAACTGCAGGGAATTCGGGAAAATTGTAAGAATTGATCAATTACCAACCTCATTAATTGAATTGTGCTGCTGCTGTTGTCACGACCCACATGTTGCATGCGCCCGTATTCCTCTCGAGTCACACAGTAAACATCCAAACAGGTCCCGTCCTCGGCTCAGAGTTCAACGCAGAACTTCCACAACAGCACAGTGGACATCCCATTGAAAAATGTCCCCCTTGGACGAGGCAAGAAAAACACACACAGAAGCAGAGCTCCAGGTTTAATATATCCAAGTGCGTTGGAAGGAAGATGACCGTTGTGAATGGCCGTTCATCCAATTAGAAGCAATCAATGCTTTTACCGCGGCAGCACCGTGACAAGTTGTGGCCACCGCTCGCAGAGTCCCGCATTAATCTGCTGTGTAATGTCAGCCGGACGACATGCATCCGTGCACTGCTTAAATAATCACACTCCCGGAGTCGTCGTGTGGGAGAGCACCAGCCCGGTAGCTAGGCAACTGAAATCTAATGTGTGGGACCCTGGTCTTTTTTTTTTTTTTTGGTACAGTGTTGCGGACAGCACTATTGTAAGGGCCCATTGTGGGAGTAGGGGAGATGACACCGTAGCCTGTGATTGGTCTACGGGTCAAGGTAGAGAGCAGTTTTGATGTGATTTGTAGGGTAACCCTGAACCTCTTGACATCTTGTTGTAACAAGCTGGGACATATTTGATCATTGATAAAAAAGTTCTGTCAATGGTGGCAGTAATTCATCTTGTCACATACACGACACACACACGTGTACCCTTTCACAAACTATTATTTTGCCCCTGCCTCTTTACAGGGAAAATAATTCCGTATCATGTACACTGCAAGCCTGTAAATGCAGTGAGCAGTACCCAGTAGATGCAAAATCTGCTTTTTGAGGTTTTGAGAACAGTTTTGTTACAAACAAGCCTTTTATGAAGTTCTAAAAAAGATAATTGTTTTTCCTAAGTGATATTGATTTCTGACTGTTCTGATATTGTACACTGTAGACATTCTACCTGATACAGAATGCTTTTTATGTTATATTTCATTTGATGTAGAAAATTTTAATTTTGTTGAGGTGAATGCTACAAATATTGCTCTTAGCCATTCAAATCATTTTACATACACACAGAGATAAATTTAATGCATTATTTATTACCCTTCAGTTAGCTGGGGCAAATGCTTTTGTTGGAGGAAAAGAAGTTATTGGAAAGTCAGGGAAATCAAACTTATTCAAGGGTTATTTTTATCTGAAAATGAAACAACGATAAATTGACTGACTATATCCTTGTCAGTCTGTAGAAATTACCGTGTGGCAGTCTTCCACAAAACCATTTCCGTCAGCAAAATGTTGTTTGGGAACTTGTCATATTTTAGTACCGGAAAGTCTTGGAAAAGTCGTGGATGTGATTTTCAGTTTTGAGGGAGTGCTCTAGAAGTGATACAAAGCCAAAAATATTACATAACAAACTCATGTACTAAGCAGAAACTTCTTCTCGTAAACTAGTGGCAAACAGTTAACAACCAAAGGCACTGCAGTTGGTAACCTGGCTAAAGCAAATGTGGCCCAATTTAGCAAAAGAGGTCGCAGTTCACCTGCACAATGTTCACTGTCTTCAGGATGCCAAACTGCTAGTAAGTGAGTGGTACATCAAAGCCAAGGCCTGCTCTGTCTAACTCAAACTAAAGTAGATACTAAAACAGTTGCCCTACGACACATTTTGTAGGATTTGGTAACACATTCACACATTCTGTGATCACAATCAGTGATCCAGCATCGGTTCACTGTCACCAAACCCGCCTAATGGATGGAGGGAACCAGCTTTGGGATCACTGAACGAGAACCAGATCCATGTGAAACAAACAGGTGCTTTATCTGCTCTTAACAGCTCCATGAAATTGGCACTAGCATAGAATCAGAGATTATGTAGGAATTTACTTGGCTACGGCTGATGGTTAAACGCAAGTCTGTGGGATATTTCTGCAGCCAATTGTCAGATATACTTGTTATTTGTACATAGCTGTCGCCATGCATGTCATTGAGATGCTGCCAAAATATTCATTCATTCATTGAATTTTTTCCGCTAGGAAAGAAGCATTCTTTACTTTCTCCTTTCTCCTGACTGGGAGCTACCAAGGATAGCACAGTCTTGCTGATCTTGTGTGCCTGTGACTCAACTGTTCTTGCATTTGGTTTGTCGGCAGAGACGAGACAAACAAGCCTCAATTCACGATGGAATAGAATCAGTGTTATACCCTGGATAAAGGATTCATGGCATCCATGCATGAGACTTGTGCCGAAATGTATCCCCTGTACGTGTTGTTGTGCGAATATGTTGTGGCTTGTGTTCCTACAGATAGAGAGGGAAAGGGGCACATGTGCGATGTATATGCACCCTGTGTAAATACAGACCCGCGCTATCAAAACACATCCAAAGATGGAAGAGCTCCCCACCCTGCATTCTCTGGCCAACCTTGTCTTCCTGTGACGCAGATTAATGAGGGAGTGTCGTATCTCAAGATACCGGCCCGGGCCCTACCTTCGCCAGCTGGCCTGTCCCGGCCTGCCTGTCTCCGTTTGGGATTTTAAACTCAACACTCCGCTGGCGCGGTGGTGACCTTTCTCCAGTGTGGTCTCTCCACAGGCATTTTTTTTTTTGTTTTTTTTTTTTTTTTTTTTTTTTTTTTTTTGCATTTTTGCATTTTGTCATGCATCAGGAACACGAGGAGGAATTTAATTGGAGAGGATAGCTGATGCAGTATCAGATACTGAGGAAATTGGTCTGGATGTAAGGAAGTAACTAGAGATTGCCAGTCAACTTGTGTCGTTGACCGCGCGCAGTTTATTTGGCTCCGCTTACGGCTGTACACTGAGCATTTACCAAGACAGAATTTGGACCTCCAATCACAGTACTGCCAAGCCAGTGCTCTTTTATTCCCCCTCCCCTCCAATGTTGTTTATTTTTCACTGCAAAGCTTTTCTGATTTTGCTTGCCTTTATTTGTCAAGCTGCCCCATTGCTGTCATTTCTGTGCTGTGAAGTCCCTCCAAGGTGGTGTATATTTCTCTAAAAACTTTCCATTTGTTGCTTGTCTCTATTTGCAGACATGCTTGCTGTCATTCTGTGCTGTGACCGGTCAGTTCTGAAGTCCATTTCTTTATTGCACCGTCAGCAGTGTAACTTTCCAACTGGCACAGCAATCAACCCTTTGTTTTATTAAAATTTTAGAGGGTGATCTTGAGACATATCGGGATGCGCTTTACAGAACAACATGTATCTTTACTCTGCAAAGTGTGAGGCCATCTCAAATTCCCAGTCTAGAAATACTGCCCCTGTCTGGGGATGCATACTTGCAGGTGCAGCTGCATTTGTCACCAGCAAGCGGTTTCACAGATCTACGCCAGAGCGCCCGTTAAGCTCCTTTGGTATTTATGAAATATTGATGTAGTGAATCTGGTCGTGAATTCCAACTTCCCCCCTCCCCCCCGGCACTCCTGTCACCGACATGCAGTATTCATTGGTTGTAAATGACGGACGTGCTGATGCATCAGTAGCATCAGGACTTGGATGCAAAAAAAATTGAAAATCAGTCACAAATTGCAATGAATAAGTTACAAGGCTGGGGTGGGTCTTGAATATTGAATGCCCTGGGTACAAGTCACTGTTTGGTTAGATTTTTAGGGTTTTCAGAAGTTAGGATTATAAAGAGCCTCTGACCCCACCACTAACCTCTTGCTCCTCCCCCCCCGGTCAAAAGTTCAAAAAGCTTGTCTTTGTCAATTTTTAATTCATCCTTTTGCATGAGTTTTCTTTCTCGTATCTTCAATTTATGGTTTTCCCAGACTGGATTGAGCCAGGTGCATTTTTTGTATTAGGATCTACTCTATTACACTAGAGTAATTCCTAATGAAAAATCTCAATAAATGCAGATTTAATAAAATCTTAATAAGTGGCATCTTAATAAATGCAGATATCATTGTTATATTGTTAAAAATGTCAGTTGTGTTATGAATATATGCACTGTGCAAGAAAACCTGTAGTTCCCGTACTTTTATGACTAATGCCCCATTTAGATTTGTTGAGTCTTACATTTTGTGTTGTAATAGAAGCCATTTGAGATTGGGCCCAGATTTAGTTTCCCTTTCCCCGAGTATCGAGTGAGATATCTTTTTTTTTTTTTTTACGAAAAGATAGTGAGCATACAAATAAATTCTTTTCTTTTTTTGTCTGTCTTTTTATTCCCCGTCAGATCTGCCTCTCCGTACAATGGCTTCATGATCATGAACCGCCTGAGTATGAACAACCTGACGGAACCCATCACCAAGGAGCTGGAGTTCCAACTACAGGATCCATTCCTACTCTACAAGACAGCACAGTGTGAGTCAGGAAACCAGACCCAAGTCCATGACCCTGGTCTCTATTCCCGATACTCCAGACTCTGTTTCAAATGTTGGATCAGATGACAATATTCCAGACTCCGTCTTCGTGTTGAGACTACATCCACCTGTAATAGCAAAAAAGGAGGGAGGAATAAACCAGAAATTCTCAAGTCAGGTCTGAGTTTTGTGATCTGCTTGTTGAAAATGAGTCACATGGACACCTTTTCAGTGATTTTGTTTCAGTTCGAGTGATAAAGAGCAGGCTTAACTTATTTTGGCATCCTGATGATGTAATGAGAAATTTTTTGGTGCGAAAAATCTTGACAGTTTCCATTGATTTCCACAGTGAAAGATTCTTTAAAACGTTTATTCTCAAAAGTGGCTGTGGTGACCTCTGACTTATTTTTACTGATCCAGTCACATTTGTAAAAATGAAGTCTGCCGAGGGTCTAGGTTTATTACAATTGAGGAATACAAAGGGACGAAAGGAGCCGATGTATTTGTGTATTTTAAAATTAATCTGGGTCTGCCCTGGGAAATCAAAGATGGAGGCAGAGCGAAGATAAGAAAAAGCCTCTTCCACCCCAAAAACATATCGTTTTTATTAGTGCATGAGTTTCCCGCAGCCAGGACTGCCGAGCAGAGTTGTAATTGAGTCAGCCACAAGTTATTCTGTACCCAGCAAGAAATGAGACCGAGGGGTACCCCCCCAACATGTCCAATCCCTGTACACATTCCAGACTATTGTTACTTAACACATCCCCCCAAGATGTCTGAAAGGAATTCCCCAGATTCCTGCGAGACAATGACCAACACAAAGCAGGGGGGTTCTCCCCGTCTCATACCTTGCTGCATATGAGTTATTCGGTCCTACATGTAAGTCAACTCACAAGCTCACTGGTACTCAAACAGCATTGTGATGGAGGCATTCCTTTGTTGTTGCTCAGTTCTGACCTGATTTGTAGACTGACTTGCGATTGCCTGGTGACTGACTCAATTCCAACTCCTCTGCTGAGCCCTACCATTTGACTTTCCATGGAAAATACATGTCACACGTCTGGAAACCAGACAGATGTTTGATGTTAGCAGATTCAGGGAGAATCCTAACCAAAATACCTTGATTAAAGTTGGAGCTGAAGAACACATGCATAGATGTACACAAATAAATACATTCAAGAGAGTGGACTTGCCAGTACCGCGAACAACTATTTCCAAGGACTAATTAACATCTCCTCAGGACAAATCCATCCTTGGAAATAGTTGTTCGAGGTACCTGCTGCTACATCTGACTCAAACCAGCCTGCCGACACCGGCAAGCTCGGTGGTTGAGTGGTTAAGCTGTCTGCACTAGGAAGGAGGAGGTCGTAGGTTCAAGTCCCACCCATGTACACTTGTGGTTTTTTTTCACAAGTCTTCAGTAGCAAACACTGAGTATACAGTATTATAAAACACGTCAGGCAATGCAACAACAAACAAAATTCAAAAATTAATTAACATCTCCCCAGAGCAAATCCATTCTTGGAAATACTCTTATTGCTGTTATTGAATAAGTCTTTTGCGAGTTGTTTGAATAAAATCTGGCACACTGATTTCTTTTATTTCATGTGAACATAACAATTTGAAGTCTGCATACTAAAGACATTGCTGCTACATGTATAGCTCATGATTTGGGTCAAGCTTTTGCTTAGCTATGTAAGAGCACACTGGTTTTAATTGATTAGAAGGGCACAAGGGAACCAGTCCATTTCAGAGATTGTGGTCACTATGCAAAAGCTTGCTCTGAATCACAAGGTATAGCAACATTGTCTTTAGTCTTGGGAATTCAAATTGTGTGCTCATGTGCAATTAGATATCTCTTTGTACCCGATTTTATTTAAATTTAACTTGACCTTGACCCCTCCTGTTGTCTAGTTCCTCAAGTACCATGTGTCACTCTCCATATTTGTTTTTTCATCCAGCCATATACGGACTGTGGTTCTATGACAAGACAGAGTGTCAGCAAGTTGCCAGGCTCATGGAAAGGTAAACGCCAAGGTTAAAACACGGATGTCTGCACAGAGTTGTGGAGTTGGTAAAATAGCTGGAAAAGAGCACCCTTAATTCAGGCTGTTGATCTCTGATGTTGCTTTACGTTCTGAACCAGTCACAGCAATTGAAAGACATGGTCCATCATTGGGAGGAGGGGCGGATTGGGTCTAAGTACCCTCCCTCCCCCCATGTTGGGTTTTTCTGGGGAAGATATAGACTTTTTACAACTATCCTCTCCGTCAGTCAAGCTTATAGCATCAAAACTGTTGCTTCATGCCCCAGAAAGGCCAAAAAGTTTTGATATAAATTTATGAAATCCTCACATTTGGGGCCATCCCTCCCTATTTTTTTTGGCCCCCTCCCAAAACTTCGGTTCTGGATCTGCCCTTGCCGTTCGTCCTGCACAGGTTGTATGATTCGTTGTTTCATAGAGTAGTCACAGCTTGCCCGAACACACAAACCAAATTTAGTTAGCAGCAGAACAAGCATGGCATCACCCAAGTCATGTCTTCTGGGCACGCAGCTGCAAAGTCAGCCCCCCCCCAAAAAAAAATAATCTTTTGAAACAACACAAGAGTTTGTGCAGTGCTTGGAATTCTCCTGTGGCAAGCATTAGCGATGTGCAGCGTTGGGGAGTACGGAAACTGCATAAACTATTCAAGTATTTTAAAAAAGGCATCAAGGCACGGAAGAAACCTTGCCCCTGAATTCAAAGAACCAAAAACCCTCATCAACAGGCTTTTAACAAAAACTCTGGAAATTTCCTTTGTGACCCTTTTATGGTCTTTCCAGGGGCTAGACTAAATTTTGGGGGTTTTTTTACGACCTTCTTTTTTTTTTCGGATGAGAAGTGAAACAGTCCCCCAAGTCACCTTTTTCTCATCATTTTACAAAAGCAGATGTATTTATTTTGTGGTCTCCATTGGCAGGCCATGACCCCTGTTACCTCCTGTCCTTCCTCCCTATTCCCATCTCGATCTGCCAATGCACAGCCCAGCATGCATAGCGAGTGACAATCAAGGAAATCTGCTGATCCGAGAAAAACAGTTCCAATTTTTGGTCATTGAATGAGTCACTGCATTTTCATGCTGCTCTTAATTTTTTTTCTTCCCTGTCTTTATTTGGACTGTGTTGTGGAACAGTTGTTTAAAAAAAACATACAAGTAAAACTTTTCAGTCAAAACTATTTTCTTGCCACGTTTTTGGAGATTTGATGTCACTGTTTCACAGCAGCTCTCAATATTGTCAGACTCTTCATAGTCTTTGACAGGAGTTTGCAAGAGACATTTCACCCCAATCCCTTCTGTTTACTGTTTATTCACAATAAAAGGGATGGGTTTTGAGACCCAAGTCCGGTGAGGGACACACTACCATCGGAAGCAGTGCAATATGGATGGCAACATGTTGCCTAGATTCTGACACTAGAGGGCGCCCTAACTGATATATCTGTTTGGTCAGATTGCCGGGTTGCAGCTCAGGAAAGTTGGCCTCAGCATCTCTGATATGAACTGTACATGTACTTGCGCTAAAAATCAGGAATAAAACTACTCACAACTACTCTCCACTCAAATCTGACTTGAGAATAAAATGCTTAAATTACCAGCGTGACTCTTCCTGTAGTAGGAGTAATGGGTTTGGGGAAATTTCTCTCCAAAGTAGGTTATCCTAGAAAGTAGTTCTTAAGCCCTTATTTTGAGGGGGGGTTGGTTCCTCTGTTTCAGTTAAAAAAAACTTTGTGGTCCTCCTTTATCCAGTTTCCCCCCCAAAAATGCATAATTTCAAGTCCTGTTCAGAATTGAGACCCTGTAAATGGAATAATTGAAGATATGCATATGGTGTTGAGTTGGTGCATACAATTTGGGGTTTGGCCTAAAAGTAGGTGCACTGTTATCAGTTTATCTGATAGAGGCTAAGTTACATTTCCATCATGTTTGATTAAAACAGAAACTGTTGTGTGTGGTTTGTATTACAACCAAACAAAATGAAGCCCCCAAAAAGCAGGAAGTGAGATTTGACTTTTTTCTCTTCCTTTCTCCAATGTTCTTTCTCTCATCTGTAGTTTCGTCCATAAGGCCAAGAAGCGTGCCAAGGGTTTGACCCATCGTAGCCGTAGTGTCTCAGAGAGCGGTGCAGGGCCTTCTTCCATTGGTCAGCCTGCGGAGGAAGTTGACATCATGCAGATGCTATCCAGAGCTCAGCGGGATTATAAGGTTTGTGATTTCATGTTCGTTCTTCATCCCATTAGTCGTTGCTTTTGAGTTGAGCAGCAAGTAATAGTTTGAAAAAGTCCAATGCTGGAAATAGATTCTTGTTTCCTGTAGCAAGTAGAAATGAAATTGCCTTTTGCTTGTGTTTTGTTTGTTGTGTGCAGAACCAGAAAGGGGAGGCAGACTCAGACTGGAAATCCAACAGTCCCCCAAACATCACTGCAGGGTCCCCCACTGTGGTTCGTCCAGTCCCTGTCAAAGCAGAAGATGGGGGACCCGAACAGAATGCCAAGCAGACTGGGAAACCATCGACCAACAAGGTCGTGGGTCAGATGTCGCAGGGTCCTGCCACCCATCCGGGCTTCCAACGCTCGACTTCCATGCAGGCAGACCTGGGATATTTGGCCGCCAATGCGGCGGCCGGCAGACAACCCTCCACCAGTCAGGGGAATGACATCCTGCAGAAGCTCTTGGCTCACCCAGGAGGCGAGACGGGGCACCCGCATCGACCAGACCCTCCTGTTAGCCACCGGCAGATAGAGACTGTCGAGAGTCTCGAGAGGAGACAAAGCCAAAAACAGGCCCTTGAGGGGAAGACTACAGATCAAGCATTGAGTCAAGGTTCAAAAGTTAGGACAGTGGAAAGCATTGAAAAGCAGCATGTCAATGTGGATTCAACTGACTCTACTGAGAGAGCTGAGGGGTTTCCCATCCAGGACCTCTTAGCGAAACTTAATATAGCCCAGCAGAACAAGCTGCCTGGGAAGCTAGATGCAACTGAGCACTGTACTATCATTACCCAACCAGTGTCCCAAGGTGGTCTCATAGAGCTGCCTGAACTAGTCCCTGGGGACAGGCTTGCCCCAGCAGCCGGCCACACGTCGGGTGTGTTTAGGACGAGCCAGGAGGAGGTCAAAGGTCAATCGGACTCAGATATCAGCCAGAAGCTGCTGACGAATCTCACAGCCCGGGCCATGATGCAGACCTCACCGGGCACCGCACCCGTGCATCTCATCCAGCCATCTGCCATCCGCCCAAATGTACCCATCAGGCCTGCGGGCAGTGAGGGACCACTGAAACTTCCTGGTGATCAGCATGTACCATCGTTACAACAGCTTGCCTCTGGGAGGCGGGCGCAGGGCCCTGCATCCACTCAGACAGCGACCAATGGCGTAACTACGGGTGTTGTAAGTTTGGATATGCAAAGGATTGTTTTGAAGTTGTTTTTCTTTTGGCTCTTTTGAGTCATGTCTGGCATCCGAGCAATTTGGTACAATGTAGTTGAAACTATCACAAGTCATCCAGTCCCAAGCCAAGTCATAGGCTATTCAAATGAACTGTGACAAAAGCATTCCTTTGTCATTGTTCACCCTGTCACTCGTGACAGGTCATTTGGAAAGAACTTGCCACTGTACTTGTGGCAAGTTGTGGACCAATTGTTATTAAACCAGTGTTCAGTTAACAATTGTTGGCTGTTGTGATTTGGAATATGACTTCGTCCGGGGCACTATGCTTCCCTGAAGGTATTCAGAACATCACATCCCACATCACAGCTGTCAACAATTGTTTCGTCATATCTCTGGCTTTGAACATTTGTGGCTTAATAGTGGTCCCTGCTAATCCTGTACACCGCGGGGGCACTTGCATGCAATGTCATCCATTACTTGCTGATGTGATATCTATAAATGGTGAGTGTGACATGCCACCCTGTCACCCTGTCAAATGGTCATTCTGAGCCAGTGATAAAAACTGTGTTCAAAATAGAGATGCAACAATTAAGAATGTCCTCTTTGCCTGGATGCAGATATCAAGATGCAAATAATTCCTTGCCAAACTACCCAGTCAAACCCTATCACAAAACCTCTAGGTTCTGGCTTTCCTTCTTTACATTCTAACGCGGGCTAAAAGTGGTTTGGTAAAACAGTTCCAAAGTGTTGACTCGGCCAAATTTAACCACCGTCAACAAGCATACATTGGTCTAAAGTTGGTCTAGATAGGATTGAAATAATTTGCAGTCCTCAATCAGACTTGCTCAGAAACCACCACCCCCCCCTCCTGAAAGTCTTGGCAAACCTTGTTCAGAAACATTCCACGACCTAGTTCAGCAGCAGAATGTCATGGTAGCAATCACCTCATTGGGCCCTCCACGGAAAGCTGGAGAGGCCCTTTTTCAGTGAAAATGTATGAGACACTGTTGGTTGGTAGCAGGTGATCAATTTGATGTAAACACATTCTGCTCACGGGAACATTAGTGGTTCTAAAAAAAGAGAGAGGTGGCTCTCTATTAAGAGGGGAAAAACAATCACCAACGCAAGCTCAGTCAGTATTTGATTACATACTTCGGAATGCAACACACAATAATGTTATGTACAAAAGCTATCTTTGAGGATACTGCTTTTAAAGTCAGGTTTGTGTAAAGGTTGTTTCTTTTGCCATTCACCTGTGGCCTAGATGTGTTTCCTGGCTCGTTCCACCTGCAGGTTAGGTTTACAGTCCCTGCTTGATTCCCGGAGTTCTACCCAGAGTATGCTTCTCGTTGTTTCCTCTCTGCACTCGCTACAAACTTCAGTGCTTGGGGCACCTTTGAGGAATCGATGGTTTCCTTTATACCAGAAATGCTTTAACGCTGATACAATTCATGTGAGACTGCCTTTTGGTCAGTGGTTGTCACTGAATCATAATAAAAACTCCCGCTTGGCTGGTAAGCAAATAATCATGCAAAATGTTCCATCTGTTTTGTTGCTCTTCTTGTGTGATTTGTATGTTTAGCCGACATCTCCCCAGAGGATACCGGGCTCGCTGCATCCACCCACCTTGCTGACTCCCCAGGCCTTCCGGAAGAGATCGGCCAGTGAGACAGTCCAAGTGGCCCATCCCTCCCCGCTTTTCCCCTCCACTGCAGATGGTGTAGCGGTCCGGCCCAGACTCTCAGCCAGTCAGCATTCCCAAGGGCCCTCCGGGGTCCAAGCTGTCAGTGCCAGTCGGCACAGTCCACTGTTGAACAAGGTTGACATGGATGGCTGGGTGAATACCACAGGGGCACTCAATAGGGAGCAATTCAAGCAAGCTTTTGTACATTTATTGCAGGTAACATTGACACTTCTCATTTTGAAAACACCCACAATCTCAAGTCGCACCTTAGTACCTTAGAGACGCCCATTGAGCAGTTTTGCTGTCTATAGCCTGTAAAGAGTAGCGAAGCGAATGTGTTACGTGAACCATTATATTTGTAAAAGGCATAGAGGTGAGAAGCAGCACGTGAACCAACAAGGCAAGCCCTCCAATCATTTGCACTACACTTTCTGGTTCAAAATGACGTCACACTTTGGCGCTGTATATATGAGTAGACAAACCGGGTGACTATGATTATGCTATGACAGTCTATGACACATGACAGTCGCTATGACGCATGACAGTCTGATGGGTCCCCTTCAATGACAAAAAGGAATTGTGGTAAATATAGTAGGTAGCAAATGTTCCATTGCAGTCGTTCTCAGCAAAAACGCAGTTCTTTCCACCATTAACGGGGGCCGTCAGGAATGTCAAGTGACAATGTCTTTGGATTTGTCTCCATAGAGGTTGCACATGGCTGCCATATTTCCTGTCAGATCCTTTTTTTTCACCGAATACATGAGTAGACGTTTTGTGCTATCCCTCTGCATTAAAAGCACTAATAAACAAGAGATGGCTACCGTGCAGAACCTCGATATACACCTTCTTAACAAATAAAAGTTATACATCATCCATAAATTGTTAAATGTTGCACTGTCTCTCTGCAAAAGTGCTCATTTCGATTGCTGATTTATGTTATGTTCCATAGAACGACAGCCATTTCCTGAGCAGCTTACACAGTGCTTACCTGGAATCATTCGAGTTAACCGGCGGACCCCCCAGACCATAACACATTGGATGTCGCCAACTACATGATAGAAAGCCATCACTGCCACATCATGTACATGCTACACGGATGCCGTCGTGAGTCAGCTATTTTTTCATACAAAGCGTGAGGACATATTAAACTTCGCCAGAGTAAAGGTGTAAACATTTTGTTACAATTCCAACATACAGACATTGGAAATTGTAAAGGAATACCATGTCTGAAATGGTCCATGTTTTAAGATATTGTGCATTTACTTTTAAAGTACATATTAAAAAAAATGAAAAGTACAATAAAAAAAATCATATTTCTTTGCCTTTACCAAATAGATCTATCAATATGTAAAACACATATATTCTACTTGTTGACTTGATTTACCTGTATTTAAGCCACCAACACCATTCATTTCAAATCAAAATGACTCACATGTAATGGTTCAAATTTTCCGGCACTTTCTCATACTGATTACAGCATCCTCTTTCGGCACCTCGGAAGCAAAATCATTCAAAAAAAAAAAGTACGTACAACATTTGACCAAGTAGATACATATTATTGTCCAACATGTTGTGCAGACAGTAGCAATGCTGTTCCGATATTTTTACAAAGTAACAGCGCTGTCTCTCGACCAACACGTAGTGTCCAAGTCTTCAGTAAAACAAACAGTAATTAACCATGTATGTGATTAAGTGTTCTCTGGAATCAGGCAGAGCCGGTTATTTGGGCTCTGCATTTGTTGTTTCTATTTTAAGTCCCTTTTATCTTGTGAAAAAAAAAGCACAGATATTTTTTCTTTGAAAAAAAGTGTACCAAAAAAATGTAAAAATTTGAATCCGAAGGAGATTTTTTGATTTAAATTCTATTTGCCTTGTAAGTGAGATGAAGTTTGCGCAAAGCATGTTTTTTTACTTTAAATTATAGAAAGTTATTACCCAACTGAAGAGGCAATATGATGTTGCTTACGTACTTAGGAGTAATTTGACTTGAATTTAAAGTTGGATTTGTGGTTTTTGTCTGTTTGTACCATCACGAATGGTATGCTTCGGGCTCTTCCAGGGGTAGAAATCCACTGAGGAATGTGCCCTCAAAGCTTAAGTTCTGTTTGTGATTTTGTTGGTTCTTTTGTTATTAATGTCTGGAAATAGTGGGAGACAAGTTAAAGTAGATTTGTGTTGAATATCTGCTGTAATGCAACATGTTTAAGGTACTGTAGAATTTTTCATTTACAACTGCATGAAGATGTAGTTGTGACAGCTAGGATTGAGGGCGCTCTTTATAACAGGGATGTAAGGAAACGTTGCACGCATCTTTGTAAGGTGGAGATGACAATCTGAAAACTTTTTAATTTTTTTGTCCATTTGGGCGTTCCCCCCTACATTCTCATAGCATAGTGTGTATTTGTTTATATCTTTATTTTAGGGTTTATTAATTAGGGGGTTAGTGTGAGATAGAGTTGTGTTTTTGTTGCATACTTTACGGGGAATTCATTTTGGGGGATTTTTAGGGGTGGGGAGTTATGCGTGGGGAAGGGGAGTTCAAGATGGTAAGGCAGGGTGTCTCAGTTTCTTGTGATGAAATTCCTGATGTTCCTTCTTCTATGTTTCTGGGATAAATGTCATGCAATTAATCAAGAGGCTCAATACCGTGTCTGTGAAGTACCATGTATAAAAGATGAAAAATGGTACAAGCAGTTCGACTGGTTTTTTGCAAATGCCCTATTTTGTAGTTAAGTTTTGAGACTATGTTCTTAAGGAATGATTGCTTTTTGACTGATTTTTCTTGGGGGGGATGTAGATTTTGAGGAGGGAAATTAGAGAGTGGAGTTTTCAAGGCTATCCCTTTGGCCATTTTCCGGGTAGCCTTGTGTAAGAAAACAATTGCAATGTGAATGTTTGGCTTTTATTAACAGACTCCACTTCCAACAAGTTTTATCCAGCAAGGGACTAATTTCTCAAATTTCTTTTTTTTTGTGTGGGGGGGCTGGGTTTTATAAAGCAATTAACATTGATACACACTGGAAGGTCTTTTTTAAACCTAACAGTCCTCAATCCTTTGGTGAAGGTGAAAGATTGAGGACGGTTATGGTTTATGAATCAAGTATCCAGTTTAGTGTAAGTCGCGAAAATGGCAACCAATTACATAACCACTGTGACTGTTAGCAACCAGACAATGTTAAAAATGATCTGACACTAGAAGGATTGTGAACAGCCGTCCGGCCCTAGCACTAACAGTGGTACTGCTGCTATAGAGAGGCTTTCACTGGATGCCATGATGGAGGGCAGGCCAGTACTCCAGTATGGCTTCCTGTGGCAGTACTCTGTACATATAGAAGTATATGTATGTCATTAAGCAAGCAAATCTGGAATATCGGGAAACTAGTTCACAGGAAAGGCAGAGAAAGAACCAGTAATTTTACAGAGTGCCAAGTTTGGTTTCATTCCTTATTAGAGATGGCACCAGTCCATTTTATATTAACTCCATTAAATACAACTTCATGTTGCATGCTTTGTTTTTACAAATCTTGGCTTTTGACATCAGTTTCATGACAATTTACATAACAATTGTCAATATTTTCGTTACCGGTAATGTTTTGCTTGCTTGGTGACATTAGAAGATATTTATTGATGAGCATGTTACTATGGTAACAAAATGGCAGATATGTGTGCAAAGTGGGCCAGAACTGAACTGTGTCCACCAGATAAGAGAAAACCCAAGACACAAATAATTGCCAGTTTGTCACTATGGGTATCTTTTTTTTTTCAAGAACTTTTCCCAATTACACAAGATTTCCCACTCGGAAGTTGGTAGACCTACCAGTACAAAACTACTTGTCAAAAGAAATGGACAAAAAAGCAATGACCTACCGGTGAAAATTTCCCACTTTTGTGAGGATTTTTGAGTTAATCCAACTTTACATCTGGCAGTTCCCAACTTTGAGTGTGAGATATTTCTGGGAAAGTTTGTTGACTTCCTTAAATCCTCCTAGATCCAGGATGTGATTTTGCTGTGCATGATTTTGATAGAATCGGCACGACAGTCCCATGACACCATGGCCTTTTCCCTGAGCTTTTTCCAAGTGTTGTTCAGAGAAGGAGTATGTATTCTGCACAGTCTTCGATCGTGGAGGATTTCTGGAAGTTTAGCCACAAAATATTCCCCATGGACTTGGGGTAAATGACTGTAAATTTCATGGAAGTCTTTACTGGGCTGGTGTCTCTGAGTGAATTGCTTCATTGCCTGTTAATTGCAGGTGCATGAGAAGGGAAACTGCTTTGGATTGAAGTATGCCATTGTCTGTTGACGGAAACAGTCGCGCGCTAAAATTGCATGTGGTCATCATCCATCATTCCTTTTGTGTGTGTGTGAGCCAAGCTTACATATTTTATAATTATAAGTTTGAGAAGCACTGTGCCCTGTTTGAATATAAGGTTTTGTTCTACCCCGAATGATTTATTGAATGAATCGCCAATCAGAAAAGATTTTCATGAAATTTCATTTACAGTTAAGGTCTGTCAACAGAGGGCAATGTTGCTGAAGTTGCCAGTAACGAGTGAGTTCGTTTGAGAACTGTTGGCAGAGCAGTGGTTGGTTTGGGCTGTAAAATGCAACCTGTATGCTGACAAAGAAGTCCAGTTGTGGATGAAATGTCTTCAGAAAACTTGCCAGCCCTGGCTCCCCTGCCATGTTTCATTGTACTACGAGGCTGTTGGTAACCAGCAGTGGAGCCAACCTCATTCGGACAGCAGCAAATTAGACTTGTACAACCAGTGTTGGCTGGCCTGTAATTGATAGCAAATGGCACATTTTCAGAAAATTCATAAATTATTATGAGACGTCATTGCCCTCCACAAATAGCTCTAGCAATGAGGTGGCCACCCACATTCAAGTGTGATCGATTGCCTCGGTCATCTTTTATCCAGTGATAAACTGCCGGAGAAATCAATCAACCAAGTTTCAGTGGGTGGGAGTAGCATATAAAACCGACCTTTTTGGGCTTGTTGAACGGCCACTGCAGCCTTTAACCTGTTCTGTCCCAAGTTTTGTTGCCCTCTGTTGGCTGTGACCCGTTGTTGTTGCTGATAACACCATAGCAACTGCTTCAGAGTGTCTTTGAATAGACGGAAGGAGTGAGTGTGTGAGATTCCAAATGAAGCTGGTTTTGAAATGGGGGAGATTGAGAAAATTGGCCAGTACAAAGCTGTAAAGGACTGAAAGTTACAGCATTGGTAATGGCTGTGCGTGATGAAAGAAATTCGTTTTCTCAGATATGGCTGGCCCAATAGTGCATTTGGAGGTGGCTGTAATGTCACTCAATCTCTTGTTTCTATTTACAATAGGAAAAAGTGATTTTTACCTTTCTCAGGGGCAGACCAAGATGGCTTTAAGTATCAGGCACTGGGAACAAAAAAAAGGGAAATAAATGCACATAATTCCGGTTACGAGCTTCTGGCAGTTGAATATGCTAGCTGCTGATAGATTTCTCAACAAAAGCTGGTTCTGTGAGCCGACTCAGGACTTCAGACATTGCAGTTCTGATGTACAGTGACACTGAGCCCAAAGCTGTCCATGCTTGGACAGAGTTTCTACCCCCAAAGCCATCTTGGATGCCGCTGCCGAGTTGGAGTCGACGCAGAGTTTTTGTTGGTCAGTAGTTGGCAGGAAAACACTCAGAGCTGGTGAAGGGTAGGGCCAATTCTGAAAACTCAACCCCGTCTCCTTTGGTTTCACTTGACCAGAGGTCCCCGATTTGACATGTAGAGATTCCAACCTCAGTATGACTCTAATGTGCCGCTGCAGGACATGGGCATGGCAGTGGGTGGGCGGGGAAGAGAGTGTTTGTCCTCCCTCCCCTCCTCCCCCCCAAAAAGGAAAAAGGAAACAGAGCGAAAGAAATCAAAAGTAATGAAAGGGGATAAAAATCACTAATTTGCTTGGAGAAAGTCAGAATTGGTCCGCTTTCACTGTTAATGGTTCTTTCTTTGCTGATGAAAATGACTTCTGGGCTGATGTCACATGACATTTGTCAGCCAGAGAGAATTGGTACAAGAACAGTCGTGTTTCCTGCCAACTTTAAATTGTGAAGTTCCTTTTTTATTTTATTTATGTTTATTTGTATTTGTTATATTTACTTCTTTTATCGTAAGGAATGCCCTCAAATTGATTTTGGGAAGTTAATCGAAGTTTGTTGTTTGATTCACCATTAAGGTTTTTTGTGAATTTTGAAATTCTGCTTAATATGCATGTTAAGTTTGCCGTTTTTGTCGGGGGGGGGGTGTTCCTTTGTTCTCTCTTTGTCTCTTTCATTCTGAGGTCCTTTTTCATTTAAAAAGGCGAAGTTTCTCAGTGTGAAATGTGATATGTATTCAGTGGTCAATTTAGATCGGCAAAAATACCTCCAAGGTGAAGCTTGGGAGAAAAATTGTTTGCAAACGTTTTGATTGTTGACTGTTTGAGGTGTTATTGGAGACTCGCAAAAATTTAGCAAGTGGCTGTTCCAGTTCCCATGACTGTAGCGCCCAAAACTATGTTATCTGGTCGATTTGTTAGAGAAGTATTTGATAGCCGTAGTAAATTGACCCCATAGAAACCTGTGTGATAGCAGAGGGAAATGTGTTTGATATCTTGTGAAAGTTGGATTTTTCTGGGGCATGATATCATTGATGACAGAATTGGGACCTTCAAAAAAAGGGGGGGTGTACAATGTAGAGGTATCCTGATGCCTAAGACACAGTCAATTGTGTTTGTCCTGATTTTTTGTTTGTGTGTGTGTGTGTTTGTTTTCTTCGTTTACTTTGCATTTGCTCTGTTCTTTTTGTTTTACCCTTATATTTTAAACATTGTATCTTGGGTATAATTTTCATGGCAGTCAGATCAATTGTGAGAGTCAAATTGATGCTTGTTTTCAAGGCTTGGGATTGAGGTTTGTGTGTCTTTATGACTTGTGTTTTTTTTCCTTATTGCTTCTTCCATTCTCTATGTTAATGTATTTTGGATTATTGGAGTCTTCTTTGTTAAAATTTTAGTGATGTTTTATATCTGCGATATCGGCTATGTAATATAGGGTAGGCAAGCATTTACACTTATCAACAAGCTCTTTGCTATTTTATATTATAAGGAAATAAGAACATGGGGTACAGTAAAGTTATTTAATTGAATTTTAATAGAAATTGAATTTTAATCGAAATTCAAGACCTGTCCACTGCAAATTGTTAAACACCAAATCCCCCCCATGCATGAGGAATGTGGCGATCTCAAATTCATTCCATTCATCACTCCATGTTTGATACCAGAACAGTGTCCTGCAGAAAGAGCGATTGGTGTCATGCTGACTTAAACCCTTTTTTCATCACAGATTTCACATTAAACTTCCAGTTGCATGAATCAGTTTTTTTAGAAGTTGCAAAAGGAATACAGAAGGCAATGACATGACTCAGACTAGAATTTACTCAGCTGAAATTAGTGCCCGCTTTTCTTCAGACAGATCTTGAATAGGAAATCTTGGAGTAATGCTGTATTATTTTTTCACCTGTTTTCTTTCTACAAGTTGGGTAATTGCAGAGTAACTGGGATACTAGGTTATCTGCTGCTGGTATCTATCCCTTACTTGGGTCATTACCAAGAGTCGGGGCGCTTGTGAAATGGAATCGAAGTTCAGTACCCTGTGATATTTCTAACCCTCAGTGTTGTCTGTGGTAACTTGTCCACAGTGGCATGAATTTGTGGCAGAAATGGATGGGGGGGGTTTGAGTTACCCGGAAACGAACAGTTGAAGGGGGGAACACCTCTGCAAGAGAAACCTCTGAAAACAGAGCCAAAGTCGAGGTTTGGGGAAAGGTCCCAGATAAGGGCCAACATCTCGAAGCTTTGATGTAAATATGCTCATCCCAGATATGGTTTCCTGAGAGTTAAAACACATTTCTAGCCAAAATGTCACCCCTTGGGACTCGCATTACGTTATTGGCTGAGTTTTTGCTCATCCAAACAAATTTTACAAGCAGTAGCTTCTCGTTAAGCTTCATGGCGTCAGGCCCTGTAGCTGTACACATGCGTATTTTAGACAGTTTTTAGACGAGAGGTTTTGCCAATTTTGAACTGAAATTTGTCCGGACGGAAGTTTTAAGATAGTGATCCGAGTAGATGATGATTTTTAAAAACCGTGGTGTAGTCTAGTAGTTGCACAGGGTAGCTAAGTATGAGGAAGGGGGAGTGATTCTTCCTTTGCAAATATGATAAGCGATGAAAGCAGAATGCTGGGAGTCAGCACCAAGGGGTGAAGAGGGATAAAGGATCTTGGAACTAATAAGCATGTAAATGTTGCAGTAGGGCTGAGTGTCTTGGGTTTGGAGGAATGCATGTGCATGTACACAACTCCAGGCGCACAACTTGTGCATACTCGGGAACACTGGCATCATGACCTAAATTTGGCATTGTCGTTTCAAAGTAAATGAGTAGGTTGGTGTAGCCGAACGGGAGTTTCTCTGAAACCGCTGTGTTGAAGTGACAAGAGCTTTTAAAAATGGTTCCTGCTGTTAAAATTAATGAAAGTTAAGGAGAAAAAAGGAGGGGAAGTAATCTGGAGACTGAGGAAGATTGGAATTAGACTTAATAACGTCATAATGTCATGCTTTGTTTACATGTGTACTTTCCTTTCAGTGAGATAGGATGCGATCCATCAAGCTCCCATTAGAAAGTGCCCATGTGAACAAAAAGTGATGGCAATATGTTTCAAATCTATTGGACCATGTAATAGGTGGCGGGTATTGAAATTAAAAACTGGTATTAACCTTAGAACTTAGTAATTAACATATTTGATGATCTTTCAAATAGCTTTTTGATCGTTTGTGAGACACAGGGGGCAGTCTTTGGGGGAAGAGCAACATTAACCAAAAAATGTGTTTTATCAGGTTGATTATTCATTAACGTCCTCCAAAAATTTGAAAAATGTGACGCTGGTTTATATTCTCTGGTTGATCGAGATCCAGGCCAGATAAGTTTTTTGTTTTGTTTTCTGGGTTTTTTATGTTGTTATGGAGGCAGTTTTCAGAATCCATTTTGAATCATTGCCAAGCCATGCAGCGCAAACATGTCGGAATGCAGTTCAAATGCAGTCAACATTTTCTGGTGGTTCTTTGGTCGTGCGAGATCAAAACTGTGAGCATGCATGGAGCACGTACTTACAAAAGTGAGAAATTTCTTGCAAAAGAATCTGGACTTTGTTGGAGCCCAAATGGTTTGGGCTGCTGGGAAAGTTTAATTGTAATGTAAAGAAGAAAGTTCAGAAATACTGTTGTGAAACTCTTGGAGTCATTTTGGGTTGCTTCATAAAATAATCAGTGAGTAGTTTTAAAAGCGTAGGTATAAGGACCAAAAGTTACTTAAGTAGAGATATGCATGTACATGTATGTAGACATACCGCAAAAGTGACTTGAGAATGTGAACAACGTTAATGGTCTTTATGGATTCATATTGTTGACTGGTCTGTTCCTAATGGGAGTGGTACACACATGCAGTGCAGTGTGATACCAGTTGCATTGAAAAGTAACCACAGATTGCCCCTGTTGGTTTTATGTCATAGGAAATCAGTCAACATCTGGGCATGTAACTTCATTTCTGAAATTATCTCCACTGTGTTAGCGGTGCGAAGGAATATGATGATTTTAAAGAATTTTACACGATCCAAAGAAGTGTTAGGCGCTGCCAAACCTTCAGCCTCTCCAAAGGAATAAACAACCATTATTTTATCATTGCCTCTGTGATGATTTAAGTAGTTTAATAATTGTGCAATTGATGGTGCAAAAAGTGCTGTTTTTAGATTTTCTTTTTAAATTGTAATCTTGTAGTTTATGGTTGTAAAGTTACCCAGTATATGTAGACATTCCATGAATCGATTAGTCAGAAGTTCATCAACAGTTTCAATATTAATTACGAGTACCAACACTAACATAACCATGTAGTTTAACTCATCTAAATAGACTTTTTCCATAGTTTAGAGACCGAACTTTAAAAATGGACAATTTCAAATAATTTTGGGTACTGCTTCTTAATTCACCTTCAGTGAATTTCTGAAATTTAAAAAAAAAACAAAAACAAACTTGGTTGAATAAGAATGTCTAGGTTGCTAGGCATTGTGGAATGAAACTGTGATATAGCATCCAGTAAGTGTATTACCGACAGTTGAGGTTAAAGTGGTTCACTCTTGTGCTGAACTTTCAACATGCCCGTTCTTGTTATTTTGCCAAATTTTGCTGCATGACACTGAATTTAAGGTTCTGTAACAATGTATAACATTTTGGATATCCCATGCCAGTCTTTGAATTTTATTGTACTTTTTATTTATTTATTTGCTTATGTCTGAAAGTACAGGCTTTGGCTCAGTGCAGCAGGACACTCATGGAAGCCATTTGGCTTGTGGCAGTAGCCTCTTGTCATATATGCGCGTGTTACTCAAGGCCATAGCCAGTGCATTTGGACATAGCCTTAGAATTAAGGCTTGTACTAAGTCTGGTGCTCGTGACATCTCAGCTGTCCTCAATGTGCTGAGTGCATTGGGAACAACACAAAGATTATTGTCTTCATCCTGTCACTGGGTATCTGCTCACAATCATGCCAGACTGGAAGCATTATTGGAACCCTCTTTAATGTCTGTCAAGTTTTTTTTAGCACAAAGCGTCCAGACAGGACATTTTTATCAGTTACTCTGTTTCTTTGAATTTGCATAAATGTGTTTTTATTTTATCAAGCTGTTGTTGTCACAGGATTAAACTTCATCATTTGGCATATTACGTCAAAATTAATGACAATTAAGTATGTTAGTTGGGTTTGCACAAACCATTTTGTCAATCAGTGAATCTTTTATGCATGTCCAGATAAATACAAAATAAAGTTGTCTCTGTCAAGATAGTTACTGAATTTTCTTTTTTTTGTTCATTTACTTGTATATTCAAATGTGTTTCATGCTTCCTTTACATGAAATGTCACTATCTGAAAAAATACTGAATTTTTCTATGTGTTCCTTCGTACCTAAATGCTTTTCAAATGCTTCCTTTGCGTTAAGCGTACAGTTGTCTTTTATGCATGACTTGGCGTAGTTCAGGTTTGTGTCCCGGTCTCGTGGTTTGTGTGACCAGCAAGTTTAGTCATCTTGTGAGATCCTCTAAATTCCTTTGCTTACTCTGTTTAGAGGTTGTGCATGGTAGTCATTTTTCCAGTAACAGCTTTTGTTCCACAGTAGTACGCATAAGTAGACCTTTTGTACTCTCCCTCCATAACAAAGGCAGTTACCTGAAAGATGGCTGCCGTGCACAATCTCTATTTGCAGAATGTGTCTCAGAGCAGAGCCTAACAGCAGTTTCCTTGTCGATGAATATGCATCTTCCTTGGCAATTTCTATTGAAATTATTCCCGTGAAACAATTCACTTGTTAAACATTAGTTATCACCATTTTTTCTGGTCAAACAGATCTCTAAAGATTTTACCTCTTGATTTCGAACAGCCCTGTGAGGCTGTAGAGAGAGAAGTATCAGGCTTGGTTTTGAGGCTCTGTGGAAAAGGAACGATCCTGATGTGAGATCTCTGCAATGCTTTGCGCGGGTGAGATGCACAATCTCGTTCAGAAGCCAACACTGTGCACAACGCCTACGCAACACCTTGCAGTGAGAGAAAGGCATCATCCTGTGTTGTCCTCGCATCCTCGAAGACTTCCCCATTCCTTACTGGACTGCAGTGGTTCCACTCGGGTCCGATGTGCAGGGGCATCCTCATTTTCTGTATAGGGGAGTTTAACTCGATTAGTCTGGTCTAAAGCTATTCTTGTCTTCCCTAAAGGACTGGTGGGGGGGCTATGGCTTCATCTCTTAGGGGAAACACTTGCTTCAAGGTTCATGCCATACAGCTTACCTTGCAAGTCATTCTATTAACAGCTTCATTTTGGAAGACAGATACAGCACTTTGAGCAATTCAAGGACCAGAATGTTCAAAAGTTTCAGAATGCTGGAGAAATTTTGGCAAATTTGTCAGACATATTGATGGACAAATGTTACGGTACATGTTCGTTGCAACCACAACAAGCACAGAGGAATTCCTGGGGACTGCATATTTACTCTTATGGTCATCCATCATGAATTGTTTACCAAAGTTGGACTGCAGTAAACTTTATCAGAGTCCTCAAAATGTAATTGCGGTCGTTTGACTAGAAAGGTGGGGATATAAATTGGTATTGAGCCAAAAGGAAAAGTAGACCAAGTAGATGGAAAACAAAAACGCTATTTAACATGAGACACTGTCCATGCCCTATGCTTGTACTGAAATGCACTATTATATACATGTACGCTGATTTTCAGTGGTAAGTCAGTGAAACAAATGTTGCATTGACAACAGGGGTAACAAACTTCAAATGTTTGCCTTCAGTAAGATCACTCTCGCTCACGGCAAGCCAACCCCAAACTTCCCACTAGATTTTGTTTATATTTTGATGGAAAGGATTTGCAGAATGCTATTGGGGTGGGCAGACACAACTTGACAGTGGGTCAGAAGTTGGGTTAGGTCTAAAAACATCTGAGGTCTTTGGTCGGGGAAAACATAGCTCAAAACTGAAATCTAATGTCATCGATCAGATAAACCCTTTTTTTAAATAAACAGACTGGAAAACTTTTTTTATAAGTACAGGTATGCTTTGTATTTGATAGGTGATGTAACTTTAAGAATAGTAATAAAATACTTCAATTATGATTTATATCTTTAATTGATGTACATGTTCATAAAAAGATATGTCATAAAAATCGTAATACATAAAAGAACGATAGAGCTGCATTCCCCATTTTCCAAAAGCCAATGAAAAGCGCCTTCAACTGTTAACTTTGAAAAAATGCCGGTCAAAAATACAATTTTTTTTCATGCCTACACTTTCATTAATTAAGTGAACTTTAAAAATGTGGTAAATTGTATAGATTAATCAAAAAAAACCTCTTACACTGTCAAAAGTATGATTTTTTGAAACTCACCTGGCCGAAATCAAAATAAAACACACGCCAAAATTTGCTGGTTGATGCTTCTCGTTCACGTATCGTATTACGGCCGCTGTATTGATGACTAGATCTAATTTTCCTCGAACCTTTCAACTCGATAAGTGTTTTCAATTACTCACCTTTTCATTAGTTACGTAACCATGTTTGAGGTCGTTCGTTGTCTCTTTACTATCCCTCCAACAATGAAGCAAGTACGGCTAAAAAGCTTGTCTGTAACGGCTTGCTGTGGAGAATGGAACGCATATTTGTACAAAAGAATATGTGACAGACAGCGTAAAAGGTGCACGTGTGAATATTTATGCTAATTAGTTGTTCAACGCACGTAAAGTGACTGCGTTGCATTTTCTGGCACGAACTTTCTGCTGAAAATCGAATTCATTTTTGCCAGTTCTGCCATCATCGCTGCAATACGCCAGTATACACGTGTCTCTCCTTCGGAAAATTGTAATCCTACGAACTATACAGTTTGACGTTTTGTACATTGCAAAATTAGGTGAACGCCTAAGGTTATTACTTCTCAACGCTGAAGTTAGTGCGGAAATCGGAGAAAGGCAACATCGGATTTTTTTAAAACTTCTTTTCACAAAACTTATCCGCAATACAGCAAGGTGCCATGAAGTGTTTGGTGTCCGGAAATTAACATTCAGTGTCGTCGATCATAAAACAACTCAAATCTTTTGACTTTTTACAAATTCCTAGCCAAGGCCAAGAAAGTACAGGCCTTGAGCTCGACAGCTTGCATGTATTTCAAGTTGAACAATACCGTTTTTGGCAATGCGGGGAAACTTCGCCACCGCAAACTGTTCAGTGACTCGATCGTGACTGAACCGAAGTGTCAAACATTTAGGCCCGTTGTTCAGTAACAACCCCCAAACAAGGACGGTTTCCGAACCAAATGCAGCTAAAATTGGGGGCGGGACGGGACCATTGAGGATTCTTTAGATGACCTTCACGGTCTTTCTAAGGGCCAAGGCTTAATTTCGGGGCTTTTTACATGCTTCTGGAAGGAGAGGAAAGAATATAATAGAGGGGAAACTCCCCCATTTCAATCACACTGAAAAAGAACGGAAAAATAAATGCAGCCGAAAGTACTTGGCTGTCATGATTACCGGTATGTGTATATCTCGAGATTTTTTTGTGAAGAGAAGTTATTGAGAGAGTGCTGTCCATTACTTCAATCTCCATTACACCGTCCGTGTGTCATTTCGTAAGCGTTGTAACCGTCACAACACCGCTGATAAAAGGACAATCGATAATTCCCTCAACTCCCATCGCTTTGTCGGGCAGGGAATGAGCTTTTGTCCCCTGCCGCTGTCCCCGAAGTGTCACGTCTTACCTGCTGTGTGGTGGGATACCAATCTCCCCCCTCCATTATAGAATTGGCACCCTCGAGTCCCTTTGAAAATGGCGGGAACATTCCCCCAGTATGGGCCCATCGACCAGGCCTGTGTTCGGAGAAATCAATGTAGTTGGGGAATAATTTGTAAACTATTGGACCGTTCCTTGCTTTGACATCTTCGAATCCTGCGCGTTCTTTCCAATGGGCTTTTTACAACACGGCCTCCGGTAGTAATGCATCGCAAAGTCTTTTCCACAAGGACATCTTGCAATTTTTCGACAAAAGATGAGGAGACATATTATCTCGAACTTTTTGCAAGTAACACGCTCTGAAAACCGTGGCTGTTTTGTGCGTTTGTAGTCCAGTTTTAGACTTTTATTTGTTCTATTTGTGTAAATATCGCACATTGAATCACATCTACAGTGTTCCCCGCATTTTAAACGACGATTTTTGCTTGGATTAAACATTATTCGAAATATATTTTGACGCGTCGTAATTGCATAACTTCCCAATACAATGTACATCTAGTTGCTTTCATATACTGAACAAAATCTTCCTTTGTAATAATTTAAGTGCCTGGTGGCGTAACATCACATCGAAAATCTGATTGTTTTCTCTGCTCTGAAATCGGTACAGTGGATATTTAGTAGCAAATAATCATTTTAATGTAAGAGAACATTATTGTAATAACGCGAGCCTTGGACGAGCTCTTACCTGTTATCCCTGTCGAGTCCTCCTCCCTCTGTCAGATCGCTAGCTTCCTTTAAACTTGAGAGTTGTACTTCACAACTTCGATGAACACCTCATCTGAGGTGGCTCCATGCTCATTTTGGAAGCTGAAAACCTTTCTCTTGGTGGTTTGGAATGGACCAAATTATCAGCAATGATATATTAAAGGATGTGTTCAGGTTTCTCCATGATTTTTATTTTTATTTTATTTTTTTTTATTTTATTATTATTTTTTTTTTGCGAAACAGCGTCGTATTTTCTGGCGGGGCTAAAGATCAGCAGCCGACTCCTGTGCACTGAGCGCTCCAGAGATTCTCAGTCTCCTCCAGGAATGGGAACAGCCACGATTGTGAAGCTTGCAGCTCAAAATTGCTCTGTGAGAAGGCCAACATCAATATTCTTGCAGATGAAAGGGGACGAACACATTTTGGTTAACTTTTGGGAACCAGCCTGTTCCTTAGTGCAGGCTTCGTCTTGGTATCAGACCCAACACTGCATCAACAGTGCTCGCGACGTACCAAACCTCCCCTCATCCCGAGCTTCTGTCACCTCCCATCTCGGACTCTCGCAGAACCCATTCCAGAAAGCCACGCGTACTAGCTCGTGGTTTGGACCAAGGTTGGACGTTGGCATCGTATCTCTCCAAGTCTGAATTTCTCAAAGTCGAAATACAGGCACTTAACGAAAGACAGACGAGGACCGGTTGCGGTGGTACAGGGGTAAACCGGGGTGCGTCGCTGGTTGGAGATCACAGCCTCGCCGCGTCGCTTCAAAGACGTGACAGCCTGTGGTAGGCTGTTTCCAGTTTGTTGATAAGC